CCGTGCCCGTGGAGCCGTGGGCTGCCTGTCCTAGACTTGGCACTTCCCACCCCACCCCCCAGCAAACACTTAAACTTGAAATATGAGCGCACGGCGGCCCGTCTGACCAAGGCTGTGTGAGCTGCTCACTGAAGGTGCTTAACGCTAAAGACGCAAAGGGGAACAGGTGCCTGTTGTCGTACGTGAATTTGCAGGAACAGAGAGATTAAAGCACACGCTCCGAACGGGAGAGGGTTTTCTTCCCTTCTTCCCTCGAGTTGGTTGGGTCTGGCCTCGGCTGCAGAAAGGAAGGTTGATTTAAAGCCCTTCGGAAGGAGGGAACGTTTCGGAGCAGACGCGCACTGAAGCGTGTTGTTAAATCATCCCGGAGAGCTCACAACGGGGCGATGGGGACGTGAGTTATGGTTCCGAGGAGTATTACGGAGCCAGTAAGAACCAACTCTGGGCGAGTGTTCTGTGACATGAGGACAGGCCCGACACGTAAAATCACATTAAAAATATACCACGTGGTGCATTTGGCGCGTGTGTGCGTAAGACGGATCAGAGGAGCCACGTCACGCAATTAGCCGGGGTTGCTGCGTGCGGTGAGGTTACGAGGGACTTCGTCTCCTTTCCCACTTGCCTGATTGTCTCCAAGGAACATATATTACTTTTTTAACCAGAGAAACATCAAATACAAATAATTTAAGCCTTATTATTTTTCCATCATACAAGCAGTGCTCGTTATAGAGCATTGGAAAAACGCAAACGCGTAGAAGGGAACGGAAAATGGCCGGCTTTTCACTGCGGAAAAATCAATCTCTTAGTCTGGTGTATTTCCTTTCATTGTTTGTTGGCACATTGTTTGGAACTTTTTTTTTTAACGCTTATTTATTTATTTTGAAAGCGAATGTGAGCAGGGGAGGGGCAGAGAGAGAGAGAGACAGAGAATCCCGAGCAGGTTCTGAGCCGTCAGCACAGACCCCGACGCGGGGCTCCAACTCCCGAGCTGTGAGATCATGACCCGAGCCGGAGTCGGACGCTCAACCGACCGACCAAGCCGTCAGGCGCCCCTGTTCCCTCGTTTTTAAGCGAGCTTTGAGCTCTCCCCACAGTTACTCTCATTCTGTAGACGCAACTTACAACGGACGTAAAGACATTTGGCCTCAATTCAAATAATGCTAATCATTCCGATAACCGCCGACGTGAGTGGCCCACGCGCTCGCTGCCGGGCGCAGTCCATAGCACTTTTCAGACCGGCTCTTGGCAGTCCCTGCAGGGACTCTGTCCCTGCCGCCCCGTGAGCGAGGACAGTACCGTGTGGAAGGGCCTTGCTCGTTCTCCGAGGGACCAGTGTGGCTCTGTCCCAGCGTGTGTGGCACTCGGAGCCCGGGGCTCACGCATCCACACCTGCCCTCCCTGTTCACACGGTTCCTTAACAGAAACACGTCTGTGGTTGCTGGAAGCTCCATAGAGCCCATGTGGCAGAGAGGGGACAGGACCCACCCGTTCCTGGTCACCCTAAAGCAGGTCACCTTCTCCTTGGCACTGTTGGGGTCCAGCTCTGCCACGTGAGGCGTTGGAGCTGTGAGCCTTGTTTCTGAAAGGCGGTGTGGCGGGTGGTGTGGCCCCCGCGGGCCAGAGCAGCAGGTGCGGTCCATCTGGTGCCCGATTTCCCTCGAAGGTGGGGGCGCAGCTCCCTAAGGGCGCCCCCCACCCTGCAGAAGGACCTCGAGGGGGGGGTCCTTGCTGTGCACTTCGGGGCGGGCTATTTGCAACGGTGTCAAATCCAAGCGCATGACTAGTAAAGATCAGAAGGTAGACGCACAAATCATTTATTCAAAGGGACCAGATGTGGGTGCCCGTGATGCTGCTGCGTTCTAGAACACGCAAGCTGAGAGAGCACCTGGCCCACCCTCTCCTTTGACCCATGAGGAGGTGGAGGCCCAGAGAGGGCAAGTGACTTCCCCAAGACCACACTGTGGGTCGGACGTAACCAGGTCGAGAGTCAGCGCCCTGCCAGTGTCCTCGGCGAAGTGGGTCTCTTTCTGCTGTCATCGTCTGTGTTTGCCTCAGGAACTCAAAGGCCTAAACCTAGTGACCGACCTGGGTTGGAAAGTCAGAGAGCTCGCGTTCCTGAGAACTGAATTGCTTGGGGCTCGGGTAGACGGGGCAGTGACCCGGGGGCCATAACCATTTCTACTGGGGTTGGTTCCAAACCTGTGTTGTGGGAGTAGGTCCTCTGCTTTGGCACGTGCCACCCGGGAGGCTGGGAGGCACCTGCACACAGACCTGGGGACGTGCTGGGACCCCAGTCGAATGACAGGGCGTGGCCTCCACCCCAGCACCAGCCTGCCATCCCCGACGTGAAAGAGTCTGTGTCCTGCAGACAGCATGGCGCCTGCCCTTCCGGGAAGCCAGATGTCCAGACCCCCGGTCCCGCTTCATCCGTCCTTGTTTGGCACAGAAGCCTTCATGCCAGGAGACGAGCAAATGCCCTGTGGTCACTGTCCCGGCTCACCTGCACTTGGGGGCGGGCTGGGTACAGTCAGGTGACGTGATGGTGCCTGGATCCCACCCGTGGGCTTGCCAGCACGTTCTCCTCCATGCCACCCCGGGTCGTGGCCAGGCCTGCCACCATTCCCAGGTGACAGATGGGGCAGCCGAGGGTCAGGACTGAAGGACTGGCTCGGGGCCCCGTGGCTGTGAGTGCCCTCCGTGCCCAGCTGCCTGATGCCTTTGACTTCCTGCCTCTCTGGTTCCTGTTTTGTGTTTGGGGGTGTGGGGGGGAAGGCGGTGGGAGGGACCCGGCTCTCCCTCCCACATTTGAACACAGGGGTGGGGGGTGGCCGCTGCCTAACGCCTTCTCTCTCCTGACAGGGGCACCCTGGCAAGGAAGGCCCTCCAGGAGAGAAAGGAGGCCAGGTGGGTTCAGAAGAGAGTGAGCAGAGACGACTGTGCCCTTGGTCTGCTGTCTGTGCCCCGGGGTCCCGGCCTGGGGCGGCATGGAGCTCCGCCTAAGTCCCCCGTGACCCCTCCCCACCTCGGTTACCGCACATGGGGGTGCAGGCACCGCCGTAACCTTGGCCACACGCAAGCTGGGTGACTGTGCAGGTTCTCGGCCGGGGGCTCCTGCTGACCTATGGCCCTCGTTTGTTTGGGGGCCAGGACGTGGGGCTTTGAGGCCGGGATGGAGTTTCGAGGTGGCCTGGCCCCCAGGGACTTGCCCGCTGCCCTGTCTGTGGCAGAAGTCGGCCTCTCCGTCCCTTCATTCTCCCGGCCCTCCCCAGGCCCGCACCTGCTCGGGGAGCCGGGGCAGTGAGTGGTCAGCAAGGCCCTCACGCCGTCAAGGGCTCCCTTCCCCAGACGGTCAGCCCTCGTCCCCTTCTCCCAGCCGGAAGCTCTCCCCCATCACCCAAGGTGCCTCTGCTGGGAGCGCACTTCTTTAAGGGCAGCCCGAAGCAACAGGGCCCCTCCCCATCTCACGGCCCCCCTCGCACTCCCGAACCTCTGGGCGGCGGCCGCACCTCGGTCCCCGGCAAAAGCCTCAGCAGGAGACACAGCAGGCGTCCCCCGCCCAGTGGGAGCCCCTCCAAGGGTCCGATGTGCGGGGTCCGCTCCGCACGGAGCATGAGGAATTGGCTGCTGGAACGGAAGCTTTCCAGCTGTTGTGGGAGGACCCAGAGCGGACCGGACACGACCGCACCCCGGATGGAGCTGACGGTCTTTCCCCTTTCGTTTCAGGGTCCACCCGGCCCCCAGGGCCCCATCGGCTATCCGGGTCCCCGAGGAGTCAAGGTGAGGTTCTGGCAGCTTCGCGCCCTTCGGGAGGCCAAGGCTGGGATTGCGGGCGCAGCAGTCCCGGTCCCCCCGGCGCTCTTGAGGGAAAGGTGGGATCCCGGGACAGGGGGCTGGGACAGGCGAGGGAGTGGCCAGCCAGGGCCAGGAGGGGCTGATCCCGGAGCAGGGGACAGCTCCGGTGCGTCTGTGACGACGTAGGCGTCAGGGCGGTGGCCGCCTGTCCATCTGTCGGGACGCTGCTTTAGCTCTCACCCAGTGCCCGCCCCCTCCCAGGCCCCGCACGGGTACGCACCTCAGCCAAGGGGAACAGCCTGTCCCTCTTTCCCCGGGGAAACTCAGAAACGTCCCTTCCGGGCCGTTTGCACATCCGGAGCGAGAGAGTCCGTCCCCATAGGATGACACCCGGGGGACCGAGCGCTGGCGAGATGCTCGTGGGAGGTGTCCACTTACCCGCAGTCGTGTTAGTGGTGCCAAGGGGCTCTGGAACCTTGTTAAACGGGGGCACGGAGCTCCAGAGCGATACCCGAAACACAGGCCCGCCTGCTCCGTCACAGCTAACCGGGTTTGCTTAGAGTTGTGTGATTTAATTTCCAGTCATGTCGCTGTCTGGGCACCAGGGGCACATGTATACCGAGAGGGATGTGCCCT